TCTGTTGTACATCATTGTTAATATAAGCTGTAGCCCCTAATCCATTTAACATGAGTTGAGGGTGATGTCATGCTGATTTGAGCAGGATCTGCAATAATAACAGATCAACGTTGGTGCGTTCAAAGACACTCTGGACATCTGAGACATTATGCTTTTAGCTGTTATAAATGACCAAATCTCACATCATTCTTAAAGCTACATTAACGTTTGTTTATCGTTTGTCTCCAGGGAAATATTTCCAAATAATTCAGCTCATGAATAAAATGCTGTTCTGGCAGCTGATTTTTCAAATGTCGTATATTTAAAGTTTACCGAAACACAAAATTAAAAAGCAGAAAGAAAAGTCCTGCAAGAAAAATGTTATACTTTTGTGAATTGAATAGAAACTAGCGTGTAGAATAAAGGAAATCAGTCTTAAACCTTATGTGCAATGACATGGAAAACATTAGGTCAAATATGATTTACTGTCCAATAATACAAAATACAACATCATATCAAAGATTGCCTGAAGCCCCTAACATGAAACGTCTCTGGGAACAAGCAGTGCACAAAATGCCACAACTATCTGCCTTCGTACCATGTGAGGAGAGGCTGACGAGCGTTTCATAATGTGTAACGCATGAAGATCTCCTCAGGAAGCCACAAAGGTTCAATGTGGACGTCAGAGAGCCTGGAGGAGAAGGGGGGGGGGGGTCCTGGCTGGACAGAGCCCCAGCTGCAAGACGCCAAAAACACAGCCTTCAACTCTCAGCTTCACAGCAGGAAGCTCTGTGAGGCTGGAGCAGCACACTGTGATTTACTTACAGCCATTTTCAGTGTGGTTTCTTAAGATTATTTAAATCTGAAGGGTTTATTTTGTGAGATAATACGCAGGTCTTCAATTTCCTCTGTGCATTGCATTGGGGTCCAGATATGTTGCTTTTTTTTTACGGTGAACTGGACATGTAAGCTTTTCCTTATCCGTAAACAGGGAAAAGAGCTAAATAGAAAACATATGTGAGGGGCAAAACTGCTCAAAAACAAAACATTAGCTTGTCCAAAACGATGCAAAACGTTGAATACAAAACAGCTACAACGACTACTTTCTTATTGGACATGAGCTCTGGGTGTTTCTTTGATGATTCTCGTCATCTTCAGTAGTGTTCCTCTCCCCTCTGTAACCAACACCCGGCTCTCTCTGTGTCACTGTTGCTTTTATGAGCCGCAGTGCAGAGGGAGTCGCTCACATCAATGCTGCTTTCATCAGCTAACAGTCTGCCGGAGCGGCACAAACAAAGGACACAAGAGAAGAAGAAACTCACAGCAGGAGTTCATTCAAATATTCTACATTTAGAAATGCAGAAATGGGCAAAAACGCTGCCTGTGAGTGAGATCCTGAGAGGGGCTGATTTTCTACTGAAGTGAATTCAAAGCAGAGAGTGTTCTCCTTGATTCAGACTACATCTTATGATCTGGGAGCTGAATGCTTACAATAATATATTCACTACAGAGTAACGTCAGCAAAATAACAATAAGGTTTGATGGCTGTAGTTTTAGTCGGACTTTGACTCAGTTCTTCCTTCACAGGGAAGTCTGAAGGGTAGCGGTGAACCACAGGAGGGTCACATGACTGCAGCCCAACACACGGGACACACACAGAGTCCCGCTCTCTCTTCACAGCGTGGATACTGTTTCCATCTGCAAAACCTCTACTCAAACAAAACCAACCCTGAAGTCATCCCTTCAATGTCAGCTGGATGGGGAAAACACAGACAAGCAAATAAAGCCGCAACTGACAATTAATTATTAACCATTAGTGTGCTACATACAACCCAGAGAGGAATGAAAGAAAGGCCCATTACTTATTCAGAAAGATCAAGTTGACATTATAACTTTGCTTGTTTTGTCAAAAAAAAACATATATGATCGTACAAGAGGACGAAAACCAGCTAGTTCATCATTTCAAAGAGGAATAGTAACTAACACCACATTATTGTCATCATTATCGATAAGTGTAGGTGTCTTTTGATTCGTTACTTCTATTAAAAAATATATTTTCAATGTTTGGATCATAATTAGATACAAGTTAGATTGATTTAATTGCATGTAAACCAGAATACAGAATGGATTTGCCTATATATACAGTTTTTATAGATGTGCCTTCCCCCCCCATTACTGAAACCCAGTGCTTTAAGTGTGTTAACAGTGTGTGTGTGTGTGTGTGTGGGGGGGGGGGGGGGTCGTACCTTCTGTGAAATTGTGTGCCCCGTCAGGAAGAGCCAGGAAAGGGAGGTACTTCCACTCCTCTGGCAGCAGGTTACTGTCGTGACCCTCATCTGGCATCAGAGGAGGGTAGGAGAACTCCACCTGAGGGGGGGGGTAGAGAGTCAGCACATTTACTTATTATAGGATGCTTTAAAATATGACTTCCTTCCTTCCTATGACTCTGCATTATCTCTTCTTATCATTCTTTCTCATAACACTTTAAGATGAATGTCAAGAATTACAGTAAGCTAATCTTGGAATTAAACCACACACACACACACACACACACACACACACACACACACACACACACACACACACACACACACACACACACACACACACACACACACACACACACACACACACACACACACACACACACACACACACACACACACACACACACACACACACACACACACACACACACACACACACACACACACACACACACACACACACACACACACACACACACACACACACACACACACACACACACACACACACACACACACACACACACACACACACACACACACACACACACACACACACACACACTAGAAAATGTTGCATTGCAGCAGATTAAATTAGCCAATATATAAATTAACATCTACCGCTGTAAAAAAACACAACATACACATTAATGTAGAAATAATATGAACCCTTAAACATCATATATAATAGTGACAGGGAACATCTACCCTCACTATAGTTCATACTTAAGCTATTTGAAGCTGAAAAGTACTTTAGCAATGTTTTGAATGCAGGACTTTTACTGAAGTGAATTATCTGAATCCTTCTTTCCATGTCACCTTATTGAGCTTCCTGCCAGAGAAACAGATGGGAGGCAGGTGAATAAGAGAAGGTGGCGACTGAAGGAGACACACGGGTTAAAGAGCCAAAACCCAATGTGATACCCAGCAGGAGATGGCTGGCCCCTCTCAGATAACGCCCAGAGGCAGCCGGCTGAAACAAAGCATGTGCCCTGTCCGCTCTCATTTTTGCATACAAAAGTGTCTGTTTTATCTTTCGCTCATACAGCAGCTGCTTCCAAGCCCAGTGAGTCGAGGTTAACAGCACACAGAGAGACTTGGCAGATGGAGAGCAGCAACAACAAGGAGGAGGAAACACAGTGTTCGCTTTACTGCTGCCAGCCTAGCCTGTTAATCGAATGAATTTTGAGGCGATAATTAGAAGATGCATTAGTGGCACTTATGCTGAAAGTCTTACATACGCTTGAGGAGTCAAAAGGCCAACCTGAAAGTGTCTGCATTTTCAGATTAACGGCCTTGGCTTTGCAGTTAGATATTTGTATGACAGTTATGTCTCAGGTTTATAGCTGTCATAACAAGCTTTAGTACTTCAATTCATGGCTTCAGACGTTATTTTATGAAGGCAGACGTTGGCTTATTTTCTTAAATAACAAATACTGTATAAACATTTTTTTCCAAGCTATTACAAGCTGCGTAAAGGTTGAGTGATGCTCTGACCCCAAGAGGTCATGAAATAATTATAAAGTGTTTGTTTTATAAAACTATTTGTTTTGCAGTTCAGCCATTAGACAGTTCTTCTTGAGCTCTCTAGACTACAAAACAATGTCCACAAAACACACAGTACTAGCACATATTACATACTGTATCCAAGCAAACACTCATGCCCATACTACTGTAGATTTCCTGGTACTAAATCAGCAAGCTCTTTAAATAACAGAGAGGGAAGATAAATACTTTTAAACAAGCTTTCAGCCTGCTATAAAAACACAGTCCTCGCTGTTGAATACACTGAAGTGGAAAGATGTCCAATTTGGCAGCAGAGCACATGTTATATAACCCTGAGAGCCCAGAGCAAACAGCTGATGTTAACTCCCTCTTCAATGCATGTGGAAATGTATCATCCCCCCTGCAGGATTTATGTATGCACTGTCAGAGAAGAACATACGCAGTCATTGAGCCAGATTACAAGTCGATCCATACAAAAATATAGTGGAAATGTGCCTTTATTATGATTTCAATGGGAAGCCCTGGTTAGCAGTTAGCAACATTAGCATGGAGAGAAGGGTCTACGTACCTGACAGCCCTTTTTGTGGTGAAAACCAACCACCACGATATGCAGCACCGGTCCCTTTGGATCGTCCCTGCCGTTAGACTCCATTCCCCCCGGATGTTCTGTGTGTCCTGTGTAGTTTTTACCTCCAGTGTTGGATGTAAACACAGCCAACAACGCGTTTTCCCCCTGAATCCGCAGTAGTAAGACAGGCGTTCACAACACAAGCACCGCGGACTGAGATGATTCTCTCTTCCGCCTTGTCCCAGTGTGTCAAAGAGTAAACACAGCGGGATGGTACACTGCAGCACACTTCCTGATTCGTCAAGGCTTTGTTTTCATTATTTAAAACGATATTCACAATGATATGGCCTTCAATACAATAATTCCCTGTGTGTTGAAAGGTAAGGGTAGACTACATCTTTTTAAAATGGTATAAGTGTTTATTTTTGTAACACAATCTATATAAAACATATGTAAGAACAAACCTGATTAAAACTGAGATACATTCATGTACTTACGTTTATAATACATGAATAAATCAAACAACGACTAACACGATACATTATGAATAAATAGCGTACTTGTATTTCAACACTACAGAGACGAGGTGGGGACTTATCTTGTCAAAGTAAAAATAATTACGTCATGAACAAGACAAGCACAGCTAGCGCTATCGTGTACATTTGAAATTACATCATGTAATTTTTAGATCGATTGCTTTTGCCTGTCCACTGACTTTCTTCTTTCTTCTTTCCATTGGTTCTGACTGATGCTCATTCTTGAATGAACATGGCGGCTACTCCAGCAACAAATCCGTCCCAGTTGCTCCCACTTGGTTTGTACATTTAAAATATTGTTCCCGTTCTGTCTTTAGATAGTTGCCTGTCAATTTTAAAGCAGTAATAAAAGGCAGAGTGCGGTGTGTCGACTAGAAGCGAAGGTTCAGATATGAGATATGTTTGGTTAGCTAGGTAACGTTAGCATCATGCTTCCAGCTGCGGTGAAAACGCATGATTGTCGTTATTAAAACATTAGCTGTCTTTGCTAACAGTACAGATTGATGTTCTTAGATAGTTGTATGACTTTCATAACATGTCCATAACGTACTGAAAGGCTTTTGGATATAAATGTATTGCTTTAAAAACCACACACATTTTTAAATAGTGAAATGAAACTAAATACATTAACTCAAGTACCATAACATTTGTACTACTTTTTGTTTAATTTGTAATTAACTTGAGGCCTTTCTGTTCCTTCCACTACTTTTCCTCCACTAAATGTATCTGCCAGCTTTATTCACTTTACACATAAAACATTTGCTACAAAACGTAAGAAAAACGTGTAAAACATGTTTAATGTGTTTTCATTCATCACATTGTTTAGTATAGGTTAAATTATTAATCAATTAATAATCAACCAGTCGGTCAATTGACAGAAAATACATTGGGAACTATTTTGATAACTTTCTTTGTGATTGAAATATGATTAATGCATTTAAAAAGGTAATCTAATAATTGTCTGTTAAAATGTCTGACTAATACAAATTGGTTTGCATCTCTCACATATCTTTGTATTTTATTCTTTTAGAGCTTGTGGACAAATGTATTGGCTCCCGAATTCACATCGTCATGAAAACCGACAAAGAAATCGTCGGCACCCTGCTTGGTTTCGATGACTTTGTCAGTATCCTTTTCCAGATTTCAATCGAACTCTCTGAAAGAAAACATATCTTGTGTTAAATTGTCTTCACTATGTTGCTGTTTGCTCTGAATCATGTCCCAGTTTTGCCCTTAACTCAGTGTTTCAGACATGGTCCTGGAAGACGTGACAGAATTGTACGTATACTTTTTGTTCTTTGCATGATAGCACATTTTAAGGGACCTGTTTGTTGAATTAATCCATACATTTCTATCCATGTTTTAGTGAAATCACACCGGAGGGAAGAAGGATAACCAAACTGGACCAGATCCTCCTCAATGGCAACAACATCACAATGGTGAATACCTTGCAGCGTTGACTATTTATTCCACTTAATAATACACAAACAGGTGTATCGTACACACTCCACCTTCCTTTAATATTCTTGTATTTTCTTTGATACGCAGCTCATACCTGGAGGAGAAGGTCCTGAAGTATGAGAGGAGAGTCATCACCAATGAAGGCTGAGGAGTTATGCCTTTACCTTGTTGTGTTCCTTAGTTGATTATGTTGATATTGTTATTTGTCAGTCATTCCCTCTTGATCTTAAGTAAGGTAAATATTTTTGTAAGATTTCAATTGAGTATTTGTTATAAAAAAAAAAAGAGGTTGAATTCAGAAGTGCATCATGAATCACTCAAAACTGTTTTTCTTTTTACAAATAAATGCAAATCACACAGTTTGAAAAACAAACAAGACTTCTTTATTACGTTTTTCTATTTGTAGTTGTACAACTTTAGTGCAAGTTACGGTACGAAAAAGTGTAATCACAGATCAGAGATAAAACTTTTATTGTTACCTTTTTGAAGAATAAGCAACATTTAGTAATGAACAGACAGAGATGATTATTTGTGAATGCAACACATGAATTGTAGTATCTGCCCCCCCCCACCATGCCTCAGTACATGGAAGGTTTCTCCTCTCCCTTTGGATTGGTCACCTTCTCCAGATTCTTGTTGATGATGTCGTAAAGCTCGGCCTACAGTGAACAGATAGACATATAGTTATAGCTTCTTCTATGACACTATGGTGATAAATAACTGATTGTTTTAACTTACGTAGAAGCCGCGAATGTCGAGAACAATCACTTTGATCTCAGAGTACATGTCCTCGTCCTTCTCGCTGACCAGCCTGCGGTAGTCCATCTAGAGGCAGAGAAGGTTATGTTAAAGATATTTCCAGTAATATTATCAAAGCTTTAAAGAATTTTCATTAAACGATCAGGAGGACATTTGTAGGGACTATTTTCAGCGTAATGTGGGGCTTTTAATTGTGTTTTTTGTCTTCAGGACAGTTTGTGGGATTGAGTCAAAAAACCTACAGTGGTAATGAAGGGAAAGGTCCCCCAATGCAACAGTGTGTTTTTAATAGTTTAAGGATAACAAGGGAGATCACAGAGGAAGATGATATCAGTCTTTGATACACACACAATACTTGTGGCTGTTTGTTTTATTATCTTTTAAAAGGAATTAGTTGACAGTAAGTTGCAGGCAGATATTCACCAGACGTATCCTTTAAGATAAGTTTATACTCACCACATGAGTGTCCTTGGAAGCTTTTCCAACAGCATCTCCTCTCTCGGAAAAGTACCTAAATAATTCAAGAAGAAAGGGGGTTTGTAAGTGACAGGAATGTTCCCATGAATATCTGCTGTTAATCTAAGAAATACTAAAATAATTATATATTTATTTTGTAGTGAAGAGAACGTCACACTACTTGTTGATGTTGGTCTGAAAACCGTCGACTTTGGTCTTCACTACAGCGATTCTCTCCAAGATTTTCTCCTGTGGTGGGAAATACATCATCATTAATCAAAACCTGACCAAACTGTGCAGCTACACACAGCCAGGATGCACATGCATAATGTACCTGCACTGCAACCCCAAAGTCATTTCCATCCTCGATTTGTGGGATGAGGTGCTGAATCCAGCAGGTGACCTGTAACACAGAAGAAGAGTGTTACATAAACACTATCACAACTAACATTTCAGCCATTTCAATTGACTCTGTTTTAGCTAACACACTTCATAGTGAGAGTGCTTCACTTACAGTGAGGATGGTCTCTCTAAGAGCAAAGATCTCTGGTTTCACCCTATCCAGAAGCGTCATAATCTTCTCATTCCCCTTGATCAAGCCACATTTTGGAGCTGGTGGAAAGGGAGGGGGAATTAGACTTTATATAATTTCATGTATATTCTGGGCAAATGCAAAACAAAGATATCACTTTACCTTTCTTTTTCTTCTTCTCATCCTCTTCATTCTTATCCGTCTCCATTTCCTGTGGGGTCACATTTTTAATGGTCAAAAATGTACAAGTGTCACAAGATCTTATGTGTTGTGTATGTGAGAAAAAGCGTATCTTTATACAGAGAGGGAGATGAATAAAGTTGATTTAAATGCAGAGTAAACTAAATTAAATAAACTTTAATTAATCCTACCAAGTGGGAATTAGTTACAGGTAGCTTGTACACAGTAACATACAACTAGCTATTGTGGAATAAAAGATGTCAATGATGATAGACAAATAAAAAACAATGGGGCATTTAAAAGTGTGACTTGTAAACCAGTTGTAGTATTTAAATGTTTCAAAATTGATCACACTGCAGGTTTTTGCTAATTTGGATTAACTCACATTAAATAAACATTATTAGCTCAATTCTACAGGTTGGTTCATGCCCTATACAGTCAGCACATAACTAGTAGTGGCTGAAGTGAGGATATCAACAAGTTAACTGCAGCCAAATTATCTCAGGGAAAGTAATGAACCCCTGTTTGTGTATTTTTGTAAATGTATGTTATGATGTTAGAAGCTGTGTGAGACCTCACCTCCTCCTCTGGGGAAGGGGGGTCTGGGATGGGGATGTCCAGGGGAGCCTTCAGAGAGGACATGTCTGTGATACTGAGGGCGTCATCCTGAAAACACACAGAGGATGAATTAAGACCTGAAATAATAGGTGAGGGGTCCTTGATTTGTGTGTTGAAAATCTGAAGATGCTGACCCTCTGCAAGGCATCCAGCTGTGCAATCTTCATGGGGATGTAGTTGGAGAACAAAAGCTCTGCCTGCAAAACAATAAGACAAAAACACTTACAAAATATGCAACATAATACAAAAACACAAGAATAAAGTGGGACTCAACAAACCTCCTGATACAGGGACTGGCGGAAGTTCTCCACCTATGGAAAAGGAAATACATTTCTGTCAATAACATATCATTTCAGCTGCTGACTCATGTTACACAAGACGGTTGGATTTACTTTCGTTTTTCTTTCACTCGGGGACTTTCCCCTGCTTCACCGAGTGGACTACAATGTACTTTGTTCTTTAACATGTTTGAAACAATCTGCTTACAGTTATCAGTATTTTAAAGAGTATTTTAGCAAGTAGCTGCTATCGCATGTAGCCTACTGTACCTGCGCATTAACACGAGATCAACTCACCTTCTCTGCATTCGCTCTGCTGATTTTCACACATGCTTTCGGCATGACTGAGCAGACGTTTTACCGTAAGGACGAATAAATACTGTCCGTTAAAGTGTTTTAAATGAACTCAGAGAGAACAGGTGCACGGCAGGACAATATGGCTTCAAGTGAGACTTTTTACTATTTCCTCTTCAAGTTTGCTTTCGATTTAATGTCCGTTGATGAAGTTTGCGCCTCCCACTGTATCCCTCCTCCGCGGAAAGTAGGACGTTACCTAAATGTACAGCCTTTAAGTTCAGTTTGCGTGATTAAAATACAGAAGAGTAGATTCTAGAGACACATTGACATATCAAGGAATACCATCAATTTTTTGGTGAGTCACGAGATGATAGGATTTAAATATTGATTTGTAACACATGTACAAATGGCTTAGATAAAATGTTATAGGCTATTTTATGAATTTGCACATTTTGGGTTGCAGGTAGGTGTAAGGAAATTAGAACAATTGTGCAAAATAGGTGTACTTTAAGGCAACTTTACTACATCTCAGAGACACATATTGTACTTTGCTGCACTACCTTTCTCTCTTTTACCTAAGTACATTCTGAAAAGTACTTATAATCTAATTGTACCATAACTGGTTAATTCAAGTGTTCAGAAACAAATAAAAAAGGTTAAAGACCACTTTTAAATGCATGTTACATTGTGGGAATTGTGCTTTTATATTGAAAAAATTAAATCGGGACAGGAAGTGGAGCCGGAACATAAAACGTCCAACTGTAGTTTCCGCATTAGCTCCAGAGACAACACAAACCCAGTGTAGGTGAAATATTAACCACTGACATGGGTTTTTAAAGAGCTTATTTGTATTAATGGAAACTTAAATACTTTCGACGTTCACTCCGAAGCAGGGAATAACCGTCTAAAGTCGTGACGAAGGTTTCTACATTGAGCAGGTTTGTGAGTTACAAAAACTTTCGGTTTCAACTTACGTGAGTTGTTGTTATGTTATCTTGTTTTTCTTGCTAGCTTCAAAGCACCTGACTGACACCGTTAAACCGTGTTGAATATGATTATACCCTGGAGAAACATTAGTAACAGTGTTGTCAGTTAATGTTTTTAAATGTGGTTAACGTCCATTGGAGTGACAGTATGATGAGCCTGGGCTTTCCAACAGTTGTCATATGATTAAAGGTGCATTTTTAAAAGTCACTTTATGACATATTAACATTTGTTTTGCTGTGAAAATGTATTCATAAAAGAAATGGTGGACTTTTACATAAGATATTTTACCCTGTACTTATTTAACATTTCACACCAATTGATATCCAATCTCAGTCGGTTTCCTTATTTAAGGCAAGGCAAGTTTATTTTGAAAAACAAATCAGCCACATAGGTAATTACTAGTGCTTTATATAAAGTATAAGAATAACAACTAATTACCATTAAAACAATAACAAGAAACAAAAGGTTAATAAGCATAACCTCAATAAAACCTATATCACCACCTTCAAAACACTTACAAAAACTCACCTCTTCAAACTGGCTTTTAATGTGTGATTGTTGTTTTATTGCTCGATTTTAATGTGACTTTTACTATATGTATTTGTTGTCCTCTTTTACTACCTCTGTAAAGCGACTTTGAGCACCTGAATAAATGTATTATTATTTATTATTATTATAAAAATGCAGTATAGTTAAAGGATTTAATATATTTATTTTTAAATATAAACTGTTGATTGTTTTTGTTTTTTTGCAAGATGCAATTCCTGCAATTTGTCTTAATGCATTACAGTTAAAATAGTAGAACTTCCTCACATAATGTACAACAGAGAACACAGCACGTTCTCCCATAGGAGTAACAATTATGCTGTGATTTAAACACTAAATATATCCACTTCCCTCTCTAACAGCGATGAGCGGTGGTCCTGCATCGGTCCAGATGGACGAGGTCAGGATCAGATCCCAGTCCCTCCTCTCCGCCTCAGGTGTGGCCCAGGATGTGAAGGCGGAGGTCCAAACCATGGCCACCATCGCCCTGCCTCTGTCAGAGAAGTACCGGCACATTGGAGTGGAGGCCATCTTGAAGGAGAACACAGCGTGCCGCAACAAACAGGAGGTAAACATTCATCAAACTCTAGACTGCCCATTTGCTTTTATGAACTGAAATGAACCCAACTGCATTCACATCACCTCATAGTAAAAAAAAATCACTCAACTTGACTGTTTTGTAGGTATAGTATGACATTACTCTCATT